ATCCGTCAAAGCGAAGTTAAACGGTCGAAAACTCCCGGAGGAACCTTTCTCTTCACGGCATTGGACGCGTACTTTTGGGCGAGTTTCCCCGTTGGCATCGTGCCAACAACCGCTTTGACGGATACGGCTGCACGTATTTATTCAAATACCTTTGTGTCAAGCTTCACTTCAACTTTATTTCATAAATGCGATAAAAGCACCAGCGCTGATGTGACTGCACGGCCACTTGTGGGCGGCCAGTTCCTGTGTGGCGTCTCGTTTGGCATGTTGCAGGCGCTATGACGGCGCACTTGGTTGAGAAAGGAGCAACGCAGCGCCTACCAAGGGGCACAATATTCTTTTGTGTTGGGCGTAGCGATCCTGCACATCTTGTTGGTGCCTTTAAAAGGGACAAAAAGACAATACTAAAAGTTTATCGAAATGTACGAATTACTTCAATACCACAATTGTAAAGAATGACGTTTGAACGGTGCGCGATAGGGAATGCGCGGCGCTCACACGGGGAGATCGTAAATAGGGGGAGGGCGCGGCAGAATACACATACCGAAATGAATGAACATCGCATTGAACACTGAAATACAAAAATCACCAACGAGCGTGGGCTGTGTTGTGGTGAGGGGCACGACATTTGAAGTTATCAAGGAGGAACTGAATATTAATAAAAAGACACTGCACTTGGATATATATTATATGTTATATAAACGGAAACTCACACACAAACAAAAGGAGCACAAGTCGTTGGAGACGATGACAAGAGAATTTAATGTAGCAGAAAAACAACGCATGAATAAAAAAAGAAATCAGTATGAAACTCAACAACATGATTAACAATAGTTCAATCCTACCGGTGCTTCAATACGAGCTCTGCTAATGCACACAAGCCAGAAGGAACCGGAACAGTAACGTTTGTTGTATAGCTAATCAATCAACTTTTTTTACCCAGAGCGTACTCAATGAACAGTGAAATTTGATTGAGGGAACGCCAGCTGGGAGGCAACCGCTTTAGCGCATTTCGTCTTCGTCCACCATCGCATTCGGATCGAGCATCCCAGGGACGGCGTTCTTTTTCGCTTGAACCGCCTGAATCTCAGCCTCCCTTTCCTCGAGGAATAGGTCGGAGGTATCTTCACCGTTGAATTCCTGAAACGACGAGAATAATATTATGAACCACGGAGATCCCAGTCAAAAGAACAAAAGGGGCAGCTCGGCGACGAGGGGGTATTTTGCACATTTGCTGCTTCCCACCGACGTGTCGATAAATCTAAAAATGATCACAAGAATGCTGAGTTATGGGCAAAAGTCGGACCACGGACGGGATTCGAACCCGCATCTTCTGCTTTCCGTGCAGCTGCGTTCCCTATTACGCTACCGGGGCCACTTTTGACCACTCAGCTCAATGGCTATTTGTGCCATTGCCTTCGAGTACAATCTAAAAATGGGTATGCGACAACAGAATCGTTAATTCGCTGCGCTGTGCGACGTTGCGCCAGCAAATGACGATGGTTACAGGTAGTAGATGGCGACAACAGGCAATTCAGAACCGAAAATAGTCATGAATGTCTACGATGACGGGGTCTACATGAAGTCCGGTGCTTAATCGACAGGTTAATAGTTAAGAAAACGCCGCGTCCACTGCCGCGCGAGCGGCAAATTGCGATTCTCTTGTCCGTCTCCCTCAAAAATTCTATCCCGTAAGTTTACAAGAGTTGACAGGTTTTACCATGATGAGCTTGCTCCAGCTTCCCAATAGTTTACAGGTTTCACAAGAACGACACTTGTAAACAGCACTGGTGAAGCAGCGAAAGAAAGTGCAAAATACCCCCCCCCCCGTCGCCGAACTGCGTCGAACAAAACCCAGTACCTTAATTTGCACAAGGAAATCGCGAAGATGGTTTCGCATACCGCCTTGGTCTGTGTTGAAGCTGAAGAATCCTTTGATAATGACCCGAATTTGGGCTCTGAAACACAAATCTGTAGTTGTTAGAAGGACCACTAGCTAAAAAAACTGAAAACACTATGCTTACTCGGTAAGGTTAGTAAAGTGCTGAACGAATATATTGGCGATGTACTCGTAGATGTAATCGACATTGCTCTGCTTCGGATTTTCATCATTCAAGGGCACCGTGATCAAGAATTCACAAGCCTTGAACAATCTGCACAACACTTCGGCATAGTACGTGAGACCTGCAATTTGCACGGCTAATATCTGAAACGGACAGATAAATGAACACCTTGATTAACCCATTAGATGGCGTTCAGATTGACGCACTTCGACGCGCTAAGACGAGTGGCTGAGACGATCGATATTTCTCAATGGCTACGTTCCTGTTTATAGCATAGGAGCGCGGCTGCAATACTAGCGCGTCCGAGCGTGTTACAGCGCGTCGTAGAGCGTGGAGTCTGAACGCTGCCTTAGCGATTTAGCACTCGCGCACCCATGCCTCATTCGAAATAGTAGGCTGCGCCTATGCTTTGCGATGGAGGAAGAGCAAAATCGGCGGATCAACGTTCTGAGACAATGCGCGCCAAAGAACATGACGCTTCCTCTCCCACAACGTTGAATCGCCGAATCTCCTACTCTACGGTCGCAAAGCATAGAAGGAGTCTAAGGACCCAGGTAAGTTTGAAACCATTTAACCATTTATTGTTTCGCGCTACTGCGACAGCGCAGCCTCACATAAAGATAACCTAAAGATAACCTCGGCGCGCACTGGGTGCCGATTCACACGGAGCGAGACACAAACAATCCCTCATTTCCAAGCTAGCTGACACGACATTAACAGTATTTCCACATTAAATTATTAAGATCCAACTGCGAATGTCGCACACATGA